TCTTTCCATCCGGTTACAGTGTGGGTGTCTTCAAGGCAAGAGTGAATAGGCTTTTGTTAAGTCAGTGCGCTTCACCATATTAGGCTACATCACCACTTACCATCAGGTGGGATCGTAGATAAGCGCTGGCTTAGTACAATATAAAAAACGCTTCTAGTTTTTCCTGTATTTTGGAGGCATTCAACACACATAAAGTGCACAAGGACAAACATCCATACACTGAGCAGGGAATTTGACGGCCTACAACAAATATACACGATAATTTGTATTGCCTTCTAATAAATGTTTATTCATTCGAAAATTATGTATATTGAACGCTTCCACGTTATAAGAGAAATTTCTTTCTTTCTTCAAAATCCGTAACTATCATCCACACTAAAATTGTTTCCTGTATCGTGGCGACAGTTTACATACATGAATTACATAAGGACATTGAGACCCGGAGCAATTATTTGTAAGAGATTACAAATACTTATTCCGTGCGGGATTCGAACTCGCGTTCTTCAAGGCCGTCAATTTTCGAAAAATAATATCTATAGAGAGATAGAGATTAAAATAAAAAATACATCGGCTTATAACCGATACAACGATTCGAAACAAACGTCCAAAGTCAAAACGAAGTCAGTCACGATTCCGACTAGAGTTACACAATCGCACTTATTCATCCATCCATTACAGGCTGTCGAAGTACATTGCTGAACACTGCCTCTCCATAGATTGCTCCATAAGGGGGGGGGGGGGGGGGGGGGAATATCGCCTCTCACGACACCCACGGTACGATATGGGGTAGTGGATATTCTTACGCCGCCACTACACGGTAAACTGTACTGGGCACAGTCCTCCAGTTATTTCTGAACGGTTTATGAAGCAATTAGTCCATGGCCTTGAATTTTTTTTTCATTAGGCTCACGATATTCTCCTTCACCGCCGAACAGGTGGTAAATCAACACTAAAAATTGCAACTTCATTGACCCCGTCAAGGATCGAACCCATATTGCTCGTGTATTTTGAAATGTACACCAAGGCTGGCTAAGCAGCCGTGAGCTGTGTAGTGGAGGTTTTAGAATATCCAATACCTTGTCCAATGTATTGTCCAGTGGGTGTCGTAAGAGGGACAGAAGCAAAACAAACCAGGAGATGAGCAGCAGGAGATGCCAAGCCGCCTGCCAAGCATACCAACTATTGTAAACGTTCCCCTATGAGACGATCTATGGAGGAAGTTGTTACGGTAACGGTAACATACACGGTAGCCACTACACTACGAATGTATTATTACAGAATAGTAAAATTATATATAAAGACCATTGTAAATAACACTGAAAATATCTAAACCCATTAACTTTCCCATCTTGTTTCTATATTATTTATTTCACAATTACAATTATTTATTTTGTTACTATTGGCTTACATAATCAATAGTAAACGTACATTATATATTTCAATAATTAATAATAATATTTCAAAGCACTACATAATATCCATGTACCTTTTAAGTATGCTCCAGACATCGAGAGTCTCACGAAAGAAGTCCCTTAAACACGGTTGCGTGGTTTGAAAATTTTTGCGAAATTCATATTAGCTGTGAAATTGAAAGACGTGTATATATATATATAGCTGACATTGTAAATATGCCACTCAGTTGTATATTCATTTACGACAGTTACTGTTTTTAGGCAAATACGAAATAAAGTTACATAGTTATCTAAAATAAACTCCAAATCACGTTAACAAAGTGCGCCCATAAATAATGACAGCGTTTTCTAAGTCACATTAAACAAAATCATGGTTAAGAATGTCGAAAACAACGTCCGCAGTTTACTAAACAAAGAAATAGTTTTCTCGACTGCTCGCAGTCGACTGAAGTAGTTATGGAGAATTGACCGTAACTCAGTGCGCAATGTATTAATACCGTATAGTGCCCGTCTTGTAGTATATAAGTCTTTTTCGCGAGACTCCGACTCTATATAACGTATTATTTTTTACTACGGACTCATTCTAAAAGCACCTTTGCTTGTTTCCAATTAATTAAAACTTTTATTGTCTCTTTTATTAATTCCCGAAATTCCTTATCATAATATATTGAACAGTTTATCCCTAGCAGAGTCGATGACGATAGTGTCCGAAGTTGACAAAGCGGATCAAATGATTTATCGTTTTTATTAGAAAGGGATGAGTCGGTTGCTACTTAGTGTTTGTTTGAGTAGACATTAATACACTAATAGACAAATACTCAAACGCCACTCAATTTTAAGATGTTAAGTCTCGTGCTATCACAGTCACTTTGACTTAAAGTGATAGAGACAGCACCATTTAACGACATCTTGAAATTGAAAAGTGTTTGACTATTTTTGAATAAATCACACTTTCAATCACTATTATTTACAGATATATATTATCTAAGTACGGTCACGTTTCCACCAAAAATCTTATTTTATGGTTAATCCAAATTTATTTATTTTTCAACCAGTATATTTTAACGTAAAACATTGGCGTCGAGAATAGACATGTGTCTGTCATTCATTCATTTCTAGTGACCCAATCATTTAAGTATCGATTCGTCTTACGCACCGGGTCACTTGGGTCGATCATTTAATTGCATCATTTCGAGCTTCAGTACTTTGTAATCTGTGAGACCCGCTCTATAAAGTCGGTAGTTGGACATTACTATCCTCTTTGGACGTAGACCCTGTCAATAGTTTGATCAGGGACGTTCAAAAAATGTAATTGCGATCATCAATACTCTATTGCGACCCGGGTCAAATGAACGAATAATACAGGATTGACACATGTCTTGTCGAGAAGTTTCTTGTAATTTTTTTAAAACTGAAACTTGTAAAAGCTGTAATTCTATTGTATTTCTATCTTTTATTATTTATGTACTCCTATGTATCATATTATGTTTTATTTCATTGTCTGTTTTACTTTTAACATCTGTATTTTTATCTAAACACAGACTATGTATTAATTTTGTGTATTTATTTTTAAAATTGATTTATAGTGTTCATGAATACAAATATAATTTTAGTGTAATAACACACAAAATTCAGTTAATACAAAACCTAGCTTAAGATATAGTTAGTGTATAATATCATGTCCACATACACACTTGTATATATTATTATTGTTTGTGCCTTACACATATAATTCAAATATGCATTTAAAATATTTTCTTGTATTTGTACAAACAATATATGTTTGTCCAAAAATTATTATTTTTTTAAATAAAATGTGATATTGAAATGTTAGCCCATCCATTTCTTTTTCATGAAAATGAAAATGGCGCCAAAACATTAAGACATATTCTCTTTTTAATAATTTCGTTTTCGAATACATTGTTTTGGTCACTTCGCCTTTTTAACATTATTGTAATTTTATAGCATGTAGTTTTGTAAGTTGTAAATTTTATACTCGAACTCGTTAATTCATTTTTATTTTGTTCAAATTATTGTGATTAAGTTGTATTCATTATTTCAAAATGTTTTTAGATTGATTAATGTACGATATACAGCTACTTTAAATTTTAAATTGTATTATATTGTTTACTTTAATTCCTAATTTTATTTATGATATACGGGGCGAATTTTTTATCGAGAGGGAAAAATAGGATGATATATGAAAGAAGTAGGTACATAAATCATAGATATTTTTAATTTTTTTTTACATATTATCAATAAATACTAGATATTCATTTGAAGTAAACTTTTATTTAGCGGACGGTTCAAAGTCAAGGGCAGAGTTATTTTGCAATAACCGGTCAAATTTTTCAGAGAAGGTTCAGAATAAGTAATATAGGCAAATGGTGAAGAAAAATTAATGAAAAAAACATGCGTGAGTGTCGTGGAACACTCGGTTGGAACTAAGTTCCTTTCGTAGTATATTATTTTTGATAAACGTATTATATTGTTGATTAACAAACACAAATAACGGAAGTAGTAAGTAACGGGAAAATCTTACACTTTTTCTCGCCTAGTTCCCGTCCGCCAAATTCGTACTGTTCGATAAGGAACTTCGTTCCAAAAAATCTCAAACATTCATTCCTTTGTATTTTTTAAATTCAAAATGCATGGTAGTGCAACTGATTTTACTGCACACGCACACATTCGTAAGGGTCGATCGGTAGGCAAAAACGTCGCGCCACACACCCACAAATCACATTCAATTTAGGATAATTTCAAATAAAAGCAGAAGCCTTGTATACTCGTATATTTGAAAACTGTAATAACAGTATTTAATTATATATTTGGACTCAAGTTTAAAATTTGGCTACTCTTCGAAAAATAACCCTTTGTATTCCGAAAAATAACACTTAATTTGAATTTCGTTAATTATAATAGATCTTCGTATTTTACGAAATAAAAAAGTATACTTTGAAAAAAAATTAAAAATGTCTGTGCCATTGGCTGCGTTCACCTAATACCCTATTTTTTTACCTCACGTTAAAAAAAGTCATCCAGTAAATTTTCGTTACTAAATATTGATAATGTTTGATTAAAGAAGTTACTGTAAATTTTTATATAATACGGTTTAAATAAATTGCTTAAGATATATTCCACTCGTGTATGGAAATTCTTAAATAAAATCTTTCACCATTATTTTTGCGCTGTAACATAATGTAATATTATTGTAAATTTTATTTATAGTTATTGTTATTAAATTGTATATTGTTCATTTACGAAAATAAATAATGCTACATCTTATTTTTGGTGTTTTTGTATACTGGCAACCGCGAAGGCTAAGTGGTCAGTCGAGTGTTGCCAACTTTTTCTATCATACATAGTATTTTAATGGGGTTGTTATAAATTAATATGCTTAATTCCGCGTAAAAATGATGTGTCTTGCCCAGATTTAAGGCTTCCTCCCACCCTCCCTCAATTGCGCGCACTATACCTATCGCCTTTGTGTGTCTTGTGTGTGCAGTGATAAATAGCCTGTGCATCTCTTGTGAATCGCTTGCAACGCTGTGCTTGAAAAGGCAAGCTATATTACATCTTGCTGTCGTAATGCAACGTACACCGCCATCGGCTACTTTTAAATGTGCATCCAACCCCGATATTCCTAACTCAGCGCTTAATATCCGCGATACTGATTGCTTTGTTAACCTACGTAAGCGTAAACAACCCGAATCGGATATGGCGAGCTCCGTAGTGGAGGTTGTCGAGCAAAAAATAAATGAACAGCTTGCAGCTTGGAAGAATCGGCTGGACACAAACATCGCCGAAACCATAAGAAACGCTGTTAACGCGACACTTGAGCACGAAATGAGTAAATTAACCTCGTCTATTAACAACTCACTGAAAGATATAACTACTAGACTGGACGACATAGAAAAATCTATAACCTACTCAGGTGAAAGACAAGATAATTTTGAGAGTCGATTGAAGTTAATTGAAGAAAAAGTTGTCGCGGGTGGCTCTGTGAATTCCCAAATTGCCGCCTTAGAGAATAAAATTGAATCAATGGAGCAACAGGCAAGGCAATATAATATCGAGATTGCTAATCTCCCGGAACGCCGTAATGAAAATCTTATAACCTTATTAGAGAAAATAGGTGCAATAATAAAACATCCTATCAATGCCACAGACATTCTCTCCGCTCATCGTGTACCCCATTTTGATCAGAAAAATCAACATCCCAAAAATGTGATTGTTAAATTATCCTCCAAAATATTGCGAGACAACATAGTTGTGGCGGCGAGGGCAGTAAGAGGAGTCAGATCTGACCAACTCTCAATCTCTGGCACTCCGTGTACGATTTATTTAAATGAGCACCTGACTCCAAAAAATAAACAATTATTTCGTTTATGCCGTGTCGCTGCGAAGAAGCATAATTATAAATATACTTGGATTAAGCATGGTACTGTACTTGTTCGCCAAACCGATTCATCACCAATATTTGCAATACGTAACGAACAAGACATTGATAAGATCAAGTAGTGATGTCAATAATAATTTGCATTTTTTGTTTTATCGTGTAAAAACATATATATCAGTATCACGGTTAAAAAAATAATAAGTCTACCCTATGTCTATTGTTATTTACCCCGTGTCTCTTGTTTGTGCGAATTGCAAATAATAATAATTTTAGTTGTGTGTTCCTATACTGAAAATAGTGCATTAATCTGTTATGATAAAGTATGTCATAAATATCACTGTATGTATTATAATAACTTGTGCAGTTTTAATCTGAGTTATAACCATAAAGTAGGAAATAATTTATATTCGATGGAATTTTTAAAACGGTACGAAACATAGCCCTTAATTACTTTAGTAAAAATTACTTCGCAATAGTCTCATTAATGGTATATTACACTAATTATATCTCTATCTTATAGGAATTATTCATTCAAAATGGCTAATAGTTATTTAACACTGTACTACCAAAACTGCAGAGGACTTAAAACAAAACTACACACTCTTTACACTAATGTTGCCTCCAGTACCTATGACATAATAATATTAACAGAAACTTTGTTGCGTAATGACATCTCCGACAGTGAATACATTGATTCTAGGTATCAGGTGTTTAGGATGGATCGGGACCGATCGACCAGTGGCCGGCGGGATGGAGGCGGCGTGCTTGTGGCCGTGTCGCGAACGCTCTGTGGCTCTGTGCTACTGCACTCGCGCTGCCCGCTGCCGACGTACCCCTCCCGCCTCTTGTTGACCAGTTGATGATTCAACTCAACATAGGAAAACGTAAACTGATTATTTGCGCTGTGTATATCCCACCTAAACAAAACTACGACACATACCGTGCTTATTTAGACTTTTTTACACAGCGCGGTGCATGATTTAGATACTGACATTTATATAATAGGTGACTTTAATCTGCCTAGTCTAAAGTGGGAAAATAAAGGCATTTTCACTCAAGCAATTATAAATTCTGACATAACTCCCACGCACAGATACTTAATTAATTTTATGTCATCACTTGAATGTTATCAATTGAATTCGTTAAAAAATAAAACAAATAATATATTAGACTTATGCATCAGTAATAATATAAATAGCAAAACTTCTCCTGTACAATTACCTTTGATTCCACCAGATGGACATCACCCTCCATTCCAAATAGTTGTATCTTTTGTCGAGGAATTAAAACGCTTGAAAAATAAAAACTATCTTAAATATTGTTACAAACACGCGGACTATGCAAAAATTAATGAAGAAATAGCAAATACTAATTGGAATCTTCTCTTCATGGAAAAAGAAGTAGAAGAGGCAGTTTCTAATTTCTATGAAAGGATATATGCCATAATAAAAAGACATGTGCCCACAAAAGTTATTAAATCGTCACTTTTTCCGAATTGGTTTACTCCCGCACTTATTAATTTATATAAGAAAAAGGAGCGAGCTTGGATACAAATGAAAAGATATAATACGGAATCAAATTATTGTATTTTTGCTATACACAGAAAACAATTCAAAGAAATGTCAGATCGGCGTTATAAAGCTTACCTCAAACATGTAGAACACAGTATAAAAAATAATATTAAATTTTTCTGGACATACATTAATAATCGTAAAAAGAATTCAGGTATACCCAACACAATGCACTACAAAAACGTAACTGCCAATTCACCTTCTGAAGTATGTAGTCTTTTCTCGACGTTTTTTCAACCAGTATTCGAACCTTCATTTGTACCAGACTACTTTGAAATTAAAGATATTAATATAGATGACCGTCAAACGCCTGATACCTTAATCTGTAGTGTAGAAATTTCAAAGGAAGAAGTTCATGCCTCAATTAAAGTGCTTGATGTTAATAAAGGCGCTGGAGTTGATAACATTAATGCCTATTTCTTGAGACAGACTGCTGATACTATTGATGAACCTATATGCTATTTATTTAATAAATGTTTACGTGATGGTGTCTTTCCTAAGATTTGGAAATCAGCCAGAATCGTCCCTGTATATAAAGGAGGATCCAAGAAAGACGTGGAAAATTATAGGCCTATTTCTATTTTGCCTACCCTGTCGAAGCTTTGCGAAAGATTAGTACATAAAGCTATTTACCCATGTCTCCACAGTTCCATTTTACAGCAACAACATGGATTCGTTGAGCGTCGTTCCACGATTACTAATCTACTTATTTATACAACGGATCTCTTCGAAGGACTAGATGCAAATAAACAGATTGACAGCGTGTATACTGATTTTCGCAAAGCTTTTGACAGGGTGGATCATAAAATCCTCCTTGAAAAGATAGCCTTTAATGGTATACGAGGAAATCTTTGGAGATGGTTTAAATCTTACATATCAAATAGAACTCAAAAGGTCGTTATTAAGGGATTCGAATCTCCAAGTGTAAATATAAGCTCAGGTGTACCACAGGGTTCCATACTTGGCCCTCTACTATTCGTATTATTCATTAACGATATTAATAAATGTTTTGATCACTGTAAGTTTCTGCATATAGATATGCAGACGATTTAAAGATTTACAAGATTATTAACACTTTAGACGATCATGTTAAACTCCAAAATGACCTGAATCAACTCTCTTTATACTGCAGTGAAAATAAACTTGAACTTAGCATTGATAAATGCAAATCCATAACTTTCACAAGAAAGAGAAATGTTAGTAATTACTTTTATTCACTTTGCGGCATAACCTTAAGAAAGGAATACACTATTAAAGATCTTAGAATCACACTTGATAGTAAACTACATTTCAATGTACATATGGAAAACATTGTTAATAAAGCATTTAGAATGTATGGGTTCGTCATTAGGTCAGGTGTTATGTTTAAACAAACTTCTACATTCTTATATTTATTTAAATCATTGATACGTTGTCAGCTAGAATACGCTGTATCAATATGGACCCCACTTTATGAAAAATACAATTATATGCTTGAAAAGATACAAAAGAAATATCTTCGATACATACATTTTAAATTCCACCGCAAACGACTTTTTTTTTTTTTATAGAATAGGGGGCAAACGAGCATGCGGCTCACCTGATGTTAAGTGACTACCGCCGCCCATGAACAACCGCAACACCAGGGGAATTGCAGATGCGTTGCCGGCCTTTTAGAAAGGTGTAAGCTCTTTTCTTGAAGGTTCCTAAGTCGTATCGGTTCGGAAAATTCGCTGGTGGTAATTGATTCCACAAAGAAGTTGTGCGAGGGAGAAAACTTCTTCTAAATCGCACAGTGGTGGACCGCCAATCATCCAGATGGTATGGATGGTAACGCGAGTTTTGTCGCGACGTGCGATGGTGAAATTGAGCGGCTGGAATTAGTCCGAACAATTCCTCAGAGCACTCCCCGTGATAGATGCGATAAAATACGCAAAGAGATGCAACATCTCTACGCAGTGCCAGTGTATCGAGCCGATCGGAAAGAACTCGGTCGTCGACGATTCGAATCGCTCTGCGCTGGATGCGGTCAAGTGGAAGGAGCTGGCACTGGGATGCCCCGGCCCAGAGATGAGAACAGTATTCCATGTGGGGCCGAACTTGCGCTTTGTAAAGTTGCAAGCGATGTGCCGGCATGAAATACTGTCTCGCTCTGCTGAGCACGCCAAGCTTTTTAGAGGCCAATTTGGCCTTCCCTTCCAAGTGACCACGAAACTGCACGCTATTCGATATGTCGACGCCAAGGATTCCGATACTGGCTGAGGCAGCAAGGGGAGTGCCTTGAAACTGAGGAGATACGACAAAGGGGTTTTTTTTAGCGGTAAACGCGCAAACTTGTGTCTTCTGGGGATTGAACTGGACTAGATTTAGTCGGCCCCAATCCGAGACTTTGTTAAGCAAAGACTCGACTTCAGACACAAGTTTGTCCCGGTACTCGGCGACGTTTTCCCGAGAAATATTGGCACGGCCGGTATATAAGGCATCCCCAGTGCTGTCGTCTGCATAGCAATGAATGCTACCAGTTAGCAACATATCATTGATATGCAGGAGAAACAGCGTTGGTGATAGCACGCAGCCTTGTGGAACACCAGCGTTGATAGGCTTGTAATCAGAGCATGCACCGTCTACTACGACCTTGATGCTCCGATCAGCAAGGAAACTGGTGATCCATTTGCAATTTCTCGGGAAGCCCATAGGAAGGAAGCTTCGAAAGAAGCGCCTTGTGCCAGACCCGATCGAAGGCCTTCGCTATGTCCAAACTAACGGCCAATGCCTCCCCCTTGGACTCTACTGCCTCCGCCCATCTATGAGTTAAGTAAACTAAAAGATCACCTGCTGATCGACCCCGACGAAAACCGTACTGACGGTCACTGATCAGCTGGTGATCCTCAAGGTACCTCATGAGCTGGCAGTTTATAATGGATTCCATTATTTTGGAGAACAAGGAGGTGATGGCGATAGGCCTGTAGTTGGACGGGTCTGAGCGGTCGCCTTTTTTAGGGATCGGGTGGACCAAAGCTGTCTTCCATGAATTCGGGACTACGCCTTGGGAGTAGGAGTACCGGAAAAGACGCGTTAAAACCGGTGCCAACTCCGGAGCACACGTCTTCAGCACAATGGGAGGGACTCCATCGGGCCCACTCGACTTGCTGACGTCCAGGGAGAAGAGTGCTTTGCGAACCGAGCGCTGTGTAAATCGCACATCCGGCATGGAGCACTCACATCGCGGGATGGTCGGCGGTGTGTTCCCCCCGTCATCTAGAGTCGAGTTGGACGCAAAAAGAGAGCACAACAGATCGGCTTTCTCTTTTGCGGCATGGGCCAGTGAGTCGTCCTCTCTGTGCAGAGATGGGAGGGATGGCTGACAGAAGTTCCCTTGGACAGCCTTGGCGAGAGACCAGAATGCACGGGTTCCCGAAGGAAGGCGAACTAGCTTCTCGCCAATTCTGCCGATGTGCTCAGACCTTGCCTTGGCAATGACGCTTTTGAAGGACCTGGAGGCGGAATTATACTTCTTTTTAAGTGCGCTGGTGTTTAAATCCCGAGACGTTGATGCGTCAGCCCAGGCCCGG